GGGGCGAGGGAGACTGTGATAGGACCTATAGGAAGAAGATTGCATGGTGAGGGGATGAGAAAGCCAGCGTGGCGTTTGGAAAATTGTCATGAAATACGCCAAAAAATGGCACACTATGCCACATTCAAATAAGCAAGTAAGAAATTATGATAGTGAAAGGGTGATACAGGGATATAAAATTGGTGAATAGCCCAGGACGGAAGGAGAGATACCACGATTTTTTAGCAGATAATTGGTCAAAGGATCGGCCTCCCTTATCTCTTTGACGAGTTGTAGTGTGGTGCTAAGACTGGCAATGCTCACTGACGATGCCGGCGAAACGTCTAGGAATGTACCACGACCACGGTCCGACTTTGGAAATTATCATTCATACTATGGACTCCGGGCTAGGTGCGTTCCTCTAGGTCTTCTACCAACATGACCAAGTTGCGAAAACAAGGTCAAACAGCCTCTATACCACGAAAAGAGACTGAGACCACACAAAAGGCCACACCATCTTGGTCTTCATACCTTCGATTAAATGAGTCTCTTTTGAAATAAAAGCTATATATGAATAGGATGATTAATAATAAACAATAAAATGAGGCGTTAAGATAAGCGATTGATTGAATATATATGAAGATTCTAAGAAATAAGATAATTGATCAAAAGCACCTTTTTAAGCGGAGTGGAGATTATGGAATGATTAAGATCAGTGAAATCATGGTTAAAATTTTGACGATAGAAGGAATAATAACAAATAAACATTTTGGTAGCAGTATGAAATACAAATAACAAAAATACAGCTAAATCAGAAGGAACTGGCTCTGAATTGACAATTAATTGGGAGCTCACAACAAGTGTTCGTTTTGCAAAATAAAGAATCTCTGGAACTCCATATGTAACCTAGCTTAAGTATGTAAAAGAGAAAACAATTTCAAATTGCTTAGGGAGCACGGGTGATATAATGATATTAGTGTAGAATTGTGATAATTAATTAAATATGCAACTATAGACTATACAAAGTAGGTAGGATTGCGGACGGGAAAATTTCCAGTCTCCATACCTGTCTGACGTTTCTAAAGAATGGTTTCATGCTGAAGATGCTGCTCACAGGCGAGACGAAATTTCAGCAAGGATACCCTTAATGGTATGTTGGGGATTTTTTCACATAAAACCCGTCTAAACCTTAGTCTACTTTCAGCTCCAAGCATTATCTTTAGTGGGCCAGATTTTCTCAGATGAAAGATAAACAATGCTGGCACAAGCCAAGTGAAAATAAAAAATCTGAGTGGAAAATGATTAAAATATAAAGATTTCCAGGACATTTCGAAGAAAAAAGTTATAAAAGCTTAAGGATCGAAAGGGATTGCAGCATAGGACCCGTCCGCAAAACAAAGTTCTTTCTAAAGAAATCAAGAATGGATATGGATTTTGAAAAGGTAAAATATTAAATCTTCTTGTCAGACAATAAATTTGCTCTGATTCATCCAAACTCACTCTCATTAAAGGCTTTTAGTAAAACTGCGAGTAAAATGATATTTTTGGGGGATAGAAAAAAGGTGGAAATTGCAACAACGAACGTAATATAAAAGAGAATTATGACGACTTAGTTGAGCCAACAAATCACAGCAAATTTCATACATACTATGAAGCATAGGGACTAATATTATATTGTCAAGTAAGTGGAGGTTGATTGTTGATATCTCTGAATGCAATCAAGACCTAGGCGAAAGGTGAACTGCAATCAGCCACTTTTAGCACAGATGGAAGCCCTTTTAACGCAAGTGATATACAATTAGCATTAAAAAACACTTGAAAAGTAGGAAGTCTGAGAAAATAAACTTAAGAAATCACTTTATTAGCCCTTGTTCATAACGAGGTAGGCAAAATTTAGTTTCCAAAAAGTAATTTAGACAGAGCTAAGGTTGATAGCTAACTCCATTATGAGAAATTATAAGTATTCATAATTCTGCATTAGGAAAAAATCGGAGTTTGGGAATAAAGGTATTCGGACTAGTATAATTTAACAGAATTCGCCCCAACAAGTGTGATGTAAAATAACTCTCCAATGTGGGATTAATCAGGAATCATTACTTGTATGAGAGGCAATTCAATTTCAAGGTCGATAAGTAAGCTGGATGTTACAACTGATATTGTTTACATATTCCTTAAATCAAAGCACATTCACTTTTCGTTTTGTACTAAGTCCATTAGGTAGCCTACCTAAGTCTGATTCAATTAAGATTAATAAGGAATTCAGGAATCGTGTTATATAATGATTTGGTTGATAATACAAATTAAAGGACTCAGTCAGAGGAAAATAGAAAGGCATAATTGCGCATGCCTAGCAAGTGAAAAATTTTATTACAAATCAAGCAGTCTATAGTTAGATAAAGCTCAAGCTGTGCTGGATGACGCGCAGTGCCTATTTTTATATATCTAAGGCCCTTAAGTGAGTCAGTAAGACAGGTATACAACTAAGCCATACTTAGGAAAATAAAGCATCATTTTAATCATAACTTAGAAGAATACTTGCTCATATTACAAAGAATAAGACAATAATAGGAACAAGACAAGAACACTATAAGTCAAAAAAAAGGTCGAAACTGACGGATGCAATTGAAGTATTGAGGTGGGACATCAGGTCCATTTATATAGAGAAAATAACACTGCTCTCTGTATTGCCTACTTTTTGCGAATACTCTGACTCGCTCTCCAGATCGGGCTGTTACAAGATTTTGTGTTTATGTGGTAGTGCCTATGTGGGAGAGACCTGTAGCCCATACATAAGAGGTTATCCGAACACAAAACAGCCTGCAAGAGTATGTGGGTATGTGTTTATGAGCATCTGGGGAAATCATAAAATGAACCATTTCACTAAGTGGACAAAGTCAAGCTATACGAAGTAGATAGGATTGCAGCCGGTGGCCTTTCCTGCCTTAACGCTTAGTGAAGTTACGCACAATTAACTGAAAGTCAATGTAAATTAGGTAGTAGCCTACGTCCACTGTATGGGGATACCTGGTTATGAATAGGAAAGCTTTTGATCAAAGTTATACCCAAAATGTTAATAATGCAAATAATAAAATTCATCATTATAAAAAATATTGGTTCCCAATTTTTTTATATTTTATGAAATACCCTTCCATGTGCCAATAGATTAGGATAAATCGCATGTCATATATCCAAGGATAGAGTTATTCATTTTAGAGAAAAGGAGAAATCAAAATGCAATTATAGAGATAAAGAATGTATGATCCCAATCAGAGATCAGATATAATAAATAAATAATTCTTCAAATGGCAGTGTCTTGCTTTCAGCTAAAATCAAATAGAATATAATCATGATCAGCTATATTGCGTTATTTGAAAAAATGCAACGATGTTGAGAAGACAGCAAATTCAAGATACGTGAGCCAACCAGCATCAAAAAGGAAAGTTTTATTAATTGGGGACAGAAAATGCGGTAAATGAGAGGGTATGTGATATTAGATAAAATCATCGGGAGGGTTAAATAAGCAGGGGAAAACGTGTATAGCCAGTGTGTATACATTTGCATATAAGGATGTGTTTATGTCATAATGCGTGCCCGTTAGAGAGTCTGCGAAGCATATCTATATTGATATTCTAATATGATAAAGGACAAAGAAAATTGGGGAATATTTCGATTAGATGATGAGCTCAGGGCTGATTTGTGGAACGTGCAATATTCTATGTACGCCTGCAGGTAGAGAGGCTAGACTGGATAGTGGTTGCAAGATAGGGCAGTAACAAGGCAACAAAAAGAGCGAGAGATAGCCAGTCGATGTATGCATGCATGCAAAAGTCTGGCGTAATCATATAGTGTTAAAGTATCGGTATTGCAAGATCTGATGAGCTCCTAGCAGGCAGAAGAAACTTATACCGGCATAAAGTGAATGGATATAACATGCAAAAGCAAAACAACGCTATATATGGCCTATTGGTGAAAAGTCGACCAACACACAGTTGAGTGAGGCTCTTAGCTCTGATTCGAGCCACAAGCATAATCAAGTTATAAACTCAGTCTTGGAAATTTTTCAGGCATAAGGCCTAAAGAATTGTTGGCTGTTTCCTGAGCATATCAAGAAAACACCATAAAGCCTTGCTGTTGAGTGTATAGATAGAGCTAATAAAACCCGTCCATCTGCCAAGTAATGCCAATCAAAGCAACTGTAGCCTGTCCGGACAGAGATCTCTGCTAAGTCAGAGCGCTTCCTACAATCTACAATGAATTATGGCCAAGTGAAGGTAAGGTGGGCTTAGAAAGCAGGCAAAATAACCAGGCAACCAGTTCTGCAACAAATCAGTTTTGCTCTCGAAAACCTACTCACTTGAGAAAAAAATCAGTCCCATTACCACAAAAGGCGATCTGCACGGCTGTGGTGGAAAAGCAGCCAGATAGCGCAAGGTCGCTCGAGCGCAGCGAAGGCGACCTGAAGACGGGCTAGTAGTGCTCAAAGGGCTAGCTGACAAGTGTGTGCGTGATGGACCCGATAAGCACGCACTCACCACTACACTTGTGCACTCGCACTCGCACACTCACGTCCACGCTCACGCTAGAAGGCGAATAATAAACCGAACCCAGCCTGTCCATCGCTCGACCCTGACAAAACTGATCAAGGTCGGAAAGAGAGAAGCAGCCAGCGCACAACTGGCGACCACAACCGAGAGCTCAAATATTAATCAATAGTCAAGACAAAGCAGCGCAAGATGGTCTATCCGCACGAAAGGGTGTAAGGGTACTCTCAAAGGGGTGTAAAAATACACTCAAAAGTGATAGTAAGACACGTGGCAATATACTGAAGCCTGCACGCCTAAGATATGAGGTAAGGCTTAAAAGAGATGGAAACACGAGAGAGAATGAAGTTGAGAAAAGAACGGAGCAGGCAAGCTAGTAAACATAAGGGTTGACGTCTGTTTGAGAAAAAAGCACTCACGTGACAGAGCTTAAACGTGCACGTGCGCGTTTATGACCGCATGCACACAAATGTGTGTAGATTAGGGGCTAGACTCTTGTCTTCGATCGATGAGGGCAGACAGGCGAGTCGAGCGGCCAGACGCCCAGAAGTCCGTACGCACTGAGTCTAGAAAACGGGGGCCCAATTCACGAATATCTTCCAGACGAAGTGAAAGGCAGGAAAACATGATGACTCCCGACCAGATAGGCGCCGCTCCGAGCCCCCAGAGTGTGGGCGAGCGTTGACGACACGAGTCGCGCAAACGCTTGATGTCTCCTTTTTACACCGTCGTGTAGAGAGGATGCATCACACTATCCGGCGGTAAATAGGCTGAATTATGAAGAGAAGTTGGGTTTCGAAGAATCCATTAATAGATTGATACTGACATGCCTTTCATTACGCTTAAGAAGGCGGGTCGAAGGGATTCGTAGATTAGCCTCATCGGATAACGCAGAAGGGTTGCCTTGGCCTTTTGTCTTTTGAAATGTGGGAAGAAAACCTCGGCTCACCTTTCTACTACCACGATGACTCCTTGAGGAGCTTTCGTCCGTCATGTGACAAGCATCGCCAGAGCCAAAAACCATTATTGACGAAAAAAATAACCACGAGGTTAAATTGTTATTAGATGTGTTCACTCTATTTCGTTTAAGGTGATGAAGGACGGATAGTAGAATTTTCCCACAATGACATGAGTAAAGCTGACGTTTTCATTGAAGTTCACAGCCTTGCCTTCCCAAAAGTTGTTCTCATCCAGACTGGAATGGACTGCAGTTTCGACTTCGCATAGCTCTTATCAACACCCCCAGCGGGAGTCAAACTGTGACAATGCAGAATGTAAGTTTGACACGTTGACCACTCGGCCACATTGTCACAAGTGCCCTTGGGTCGCAGAGCAGATATGAATTTCACGGAAGGCCAGGCCTTTTCCCATATCACATTTTTTGGTGCGACTGTCGATGAAACAAACGTATTTTTGCTATAACAATCGACTACATTACTTATTTTCGGTATTCACCCTATTTCGTTTAAGGTGATGAAGGACGGGTAGTAGAATTTCATCATCTTAAACGAACTAGGGTGAATATATATCATAT